TAAATGTTTTTTTTACAACAGGGGTGTAAAAACGCATACACATAACTGGAGAATTTCTGCCATTTTATTTGCCCAGTCGAGTGTGCACTGCTTTTTGCCTAAGCCTATGTATGTTCATGCGTATAATTTGCGGCAAGTGTGAGTTGCACTTAATGCCAAAGTTACTTTCGCAGCAAAAGAGATAGCAAGAAACGGTTGGCAAATCGGAAACGGAAACTCCCGCAAATACATTTACACAGAGTCAGAGTCATGCAAACTTGGCACCAGAAATTGGGGTAATTGCTGGCTGCACAGTCGCTTGGCAGAGCATTTATTGTGTGGCCCATGGGAACTTTAAATAATGCAATTGATTTTTGAATTTTGTTTGGCAAAAGTGTTAAGCAAATATTGAAAATATCCAATTTTTTTTTTTGGCACAAGTCTCAATCAAAATCTGAAATACATTTTAAATATATTAAAAAAATAAAATATATCAACATTAAATTTTAAAATAAAATTTTAATAAATTTTATATTTAATAATTAAAAAGAATTTAGGCCACACATGAAAAATATTAAGAGATTGCGTGTTTTAAGCCCTTGTAGAGGGTATTAAGATTTTGCCATTAAATGTGCTATAATCAGGATCTGCATCAACAGTCGCGTCGATTTAGTCATTCCGTTTATCCGTATGTTCGCCAGTCTGTTTCTATGTCTAGTCTCCCAGTTTTAAAGATATCGTCGTACTACTTTGCATAGGTCCTTCTTTCTGTTACAGGGAGTACACGTATCGGAGCCGGCCACAATGTCATAGCTGTCATTGGAATGTTCGATCGAAAATTAGATAGTAGTTGCATGGCAAAATATTCTGTTTTTCAAGGTATTTTCATCAAACAAAGCATTTACAAGCTTCACTTTTCTCATATATCCGCAAAGGGAAAAGTTCAGAAAGGGTATTAATTTTTCGGCTTGCCGAAGATATCCTTACTTTGTCCCTGTTAATGTATTTAATATGCACATTAACTTAAATAGCCAATGACTCATTCAATCGAATTTATGGCTCAGTCATTAAATAATCAGTTTAATGAGTTGTTGACTTTGTCCAGCTCGACCACTTGAGCAGCACATCTTAAGTTTATTGAACACTTTGAACGAAATGTGATCGTTAAATCCAAATACCCTGTAATGAAGGATATAATAAAGCAAGCCAAATGATATGCTTAAGAGGCAGCCAATTTTATAAGCTTAGATATATATATATTTTGTCCTTGGGCATTTTACACTGAAAAGGTGAATGAACTTGTGAATAATATTTAATTTGTTCAAATTATAATATTTGTCAATAATATTCCCATGGCCATCACATCAAAGGTTCAATCAGAGGAAGGTATTCCTCTAGGGTTTTCTATTATAATTTGCATAAATATATTAATTAAAATAATGCAGATTACATTCAATTGACAGCTTCCAAAAACTAAAATGTGTTTGATAAAACTTTAAAATTGGTTTTTTCCAAAAAATCCTTGGATAAAGTGTCACGTTCAAAAAAAATAAGAAGACCTTCTTCCAATCCCATATGCCAAACAAGTCAAATGTTTGGCCATAAATTTTGTGGCTCTTATACAAGCTCATAAATTTAGGTTAGTAAAACTGGAACAAACACAAAAAAAAAGAAGACAAGCAAAAAAACAACAAAAACAAAGTAGCCATCATAAAAGCAGCGGGTAAATCATATTTGCCGCTGTGGCTAAAAGTCTCGAGTGCATAAATTAAATTTAACGCTAAGGTGCAAAAGCAACAAATAAGAAAATACGAAAATTTATGCAGGATACAAAAATGTATACATATAAACATGCTGAAACGAAATCAATTTGCGACCGTTGAGGTATTACCTAAAGTTAAGCGGCAATTCCCAGAAGATGGCACTAGGACAACAAAGTTACGGTTACCATATACATAACATATATGTGAATGTGTGTGTGCGTATATCTGTATGTGTATTTTGGCACCTGGCTAAAGGCGACGGCTAAACGATGGGCTGCCAGGACAAATGATTATGCTGCCTCAAGCGCATATTGTTAAGGTTTTCCAGAGCAAGCTGCTTTAGCTGATCTGCTACAAACAAGTGTATCACAAAATTATGATAGACACAATGATGCCCTTCATATGAGTGTGTTCGAGCTATAGCAATATATGTGTATTTTGTGTGTAAGTTGAAATTATAGTATATATCTACAGTATATATAAGCTCTAGAGTATGCACGGAAGATTTGTTTATGAACGGAAAAGATAGAGTTTAACTAAAGTTAAATAAAAGATAAATGTGCACATTAATATTTGTTTAAAAAGCTCCAATTCTGTTTATTTAATACACTACATGTTGGGGATTCTAACAAAGGCATATGCGTGGCAATATATAAATTTAGGCATAAGTCGGAATCAAAAAAAGATACATTTCATATCTTACATTACATAAAAAGAAAAAAAACATATTAATGACTCTATATCTTTGACATTCAATATGCCTGCCAGCTTATCAGTCAAATGTATCAAATTCAAACTAATTGAATGAGAAGAAGAGCGGCTTTTCGCTGCTGACAGTTCAAATGTGGCGTGAAAACTTGACATGGATATAATGTTAAATGCTTACACACATTTAAGAGACCTGCGCGCGGCATTATTGGAGTAAATGCGTCGTCATTTTGCCAAAAACTTCTAAATTATATCCTTGTCAATCACATTTGCTCTTATCATTGTGTCAACAGACATCTTTGTGTGTGTGTGTGTGTGTGTGTAACATATTCATTTCCACAGCGGTGCGCACAAGGCGTATGCGTGACTTTATTGTCTTTTGCGCAAATTGTTTAGCATTAATGTGCGACATTTGCAATTTGATTAGCGCCAAGAACCAAGAACAAGGACGACAACACTTCTCTCCCTCTGCCATTCCATGCCACATTCTTTGTGTGGCAACGTCTTCGTTATGGGTTTTATGGATTTCGTCTCGTCAAACTTCGTTTAGTTCCCGGCTAAGTTCTAGACGTCTTGCAGCGTAATGAATTGCCCAACAGTTGCTTATTATTTGTACACTTGTTTTTTCCTCCAGTTGCTTTCTATTTTCATGCATTTATTTGATTAATTTTCCCGAGTAAAGCTGAAAAAGTTTTATTTCTAGCCTCGTCTGACCATAATTTTCATCATAATTATATTGTAATATCAATTAGAGCGTTGACCAAAAACCTTAACTTGATCATGATTAATGGCCTTTAAGAAAAATCTCAAGGTTGCCAAGACCATTGCTTGTGCGCCTAATTAATGAGCTGCATATTTTCAAACAATGGCCAACATGCCTATTAATATGCCAGACAATGGGCCAGTTGGCCAGCGCCCAGAATAGCACGAACAGCACTTGAGCCGGGCTAAGAAAATCTTGAATTAAAGATTCCCATTTAACTTGTAATTCGAGGGTAATCTTTAATTAAGCTTGCGCAGTCAAATATATTAGATATTTGATTGGCTTCAAAAGAGCCAAGAATTAAATTCGTGTTGACAATCGAGCGCTAAGGCATGAAAGGCCGAAAAAATAAATTTATTTGGAAACTAAAGCTCATTTTATTTATAAGCTGCTTTTAGTGGATATTAAATTTATAAATTTATTTATTTTCCCACATGCTATGCTTCAATTTGATAAATGAGAAAGCTGGGAACTAGCCTTAAATTAAACTGACAAAGAGGAAGCAACCGAGAGACACAGCGGGAGAGAGGGTATATATATATATATATAAGAACATAGAAATTCCTACGAGTATGAGCAGCCTATTCGAATGGTATAAAAGAAGACATGGAGGTATACCCGTTTTCTGAATGAATATAAATAAATAAATATATATAGAAAGGTCGCTATTAGCAAAGTATATATATTTTAATTAACACTATAAGTCATTGCTTTTTAAATTCGATTTTTTGTATTCAAGAAGGCCTTAAATTGATGGATAAAAAGATAGATTACCTATAGAAGCGAACTATTTCCACACCACAATCATATTTGGGGAAATCAACAATCTGTAAATGAAAATGTAATTTTATAATTGTAAATAACAGATGTACAGAAAATTAAACACCCACACACATGAAGGACTTGACAGCATTTGCTTTGGTAAGAAACCACGGCAATTAAATTGCAATCCAAGTGAAAATTGTCAAAGACCGCAAAACTGAGACAGCAAACGCAACAACAATAAGAGCAACATCAACAAAAACAACAATAACAATAACAATAACAATTAGAGCAGCAACAACAAAGGCGCTAGACATCTGCCACTTGGCGTTATTTGCGTAAACAAAAGGACAAGGCAAATGTCAGCAATTGTCAGTTGGTTGGGAAAGGGGCAAAGCATGTTCAGTTTGTGTGCGTGTGTGTGTGCGTATGTGCGGGTCGTGACATTGCCCTCAGCACTCGATAATTAAAATGTAGCCCTTGGGTCGAAAGAGGCACACACACGCCCAGTGGGTCGAGTTCGGTTCGGGCCGGGTCGGTTGCCTCTGACCTAGAGAATTGACCCTCAACATAAATCCTCAGTTTGCCCATGCATTTATCAAGCGAGTCGCAATTGAAATACATTTCCGATGCATTCGTTTTTCTTGACTCTTTTCACCCGAACTAACTGGAAACGCTTTGAATTCGCTCACCATATGCACTAAACTATGCAATAAATCTCGTGTCATACGTTTCAGAAAGCCCACAGCCCAAGGTGCAGGCCAAAAAATGTTGCCTACTTTACAGGGCTTGGGTAAATTTGGCCCAGCCGTTCTGTTATTACACAGTCTCCGATTTATCCCTTTCCATATCGAGTGTAAAATATAAATTGGAGATATATTTATACATAGATATTGTATATACTTATAGATATATATATATAGATAGATAAATATATATAGATTTTTAGATGTATAGATATCTATATATCTATATAAATATATGTGATGTATAAAAAATAAAAGTAAGCATAAAAGTGAACACATTTATATTGAGGGATTTTTGTCTAGTTATTTATAATTTTACAATAAGCATTGTGTATTCCAGTTAGTTATCTTATAAATCTTGTGTTTTCTTTGAGAATTGTCTGATGATGATAGGGTATTTGGTGCAACGGATATTTTGGAATCATGTATTCCATTCGCTGGTTACGTCTTAGGGAACACTCCAAGAAGCCTCGCCAATTTTTTTGAAAAGTTGTGTGACACTCTTCGGATCTGCCTCTTGTGAATAACTCGCTTCGCAAGTCCATAAACAGTATACTTGCTTTGAACCAATTAACATAGCCAAACGTATGCCAAACTGTTTCCCTAATATTTTCGACTTCCAAGTACTTTTCAACTCTAGGTATATTGTATATAGTCGACCTACCAATGCACACGGTTTCCAAATTTTCTTTTCTATAGTAAATTTAATTAAGATCTGGGAATTATTCTGATATACGAGAAACCACAGAGAGCAGTGATAAACGATGTGGCATTATGATGTGGCAATTTAACACAAGTAAGAGGTTCTAGTCCCTGTACCCTCTTCTTCCAACATCAAATGCATATATATATTCTATTTTAGGAGCTTTATGTCAAGTTCGGTGACTCTAGCTCTTATTATTTACAAAAATTGCCCAAAAAACAGGATTCGATATCGATTTTTATCGATTGCTTGGAAACGGAGTAAGTTATCGATTATCGGAAACAAACTCGATCAGCGCAGGCACTAGGAGCATCTACATCTAAACGGACAGACGGACGGACGGACAAATGGACAGACACACAGACAGACGGACATGCCTAGATTGACTCGGCTATTGATGCTGATCAAGAATATATATACTTTATGGGGTCGGAGATCCTTCCTTCTGCCTGTTACATACATTTTGATTTTGCACAAATACAATATACCCTTATACCCATTTTTAATGGGTTCAGGGTATAAAAACAAAAATCTCTATATAACAGTATAGTTGCAATAGGGAAAAATAAGTTTTTCTGTTTCTCTTCAGTATGACTTATCCCAAATCGTAATCAATGCTCGGCCCGCCGAACATAGTCACTCTCTCTATAAAAAACTATATATATATATAGAGAGAGAATGACTATGTTCGCAAGAATACATACTCTGGATTGTATCGGCCCCAGGCTCTCATATATGAATGCATTTTCATTCTGTAGTTTATAAAGTCTCTTGGTTCCATAAACCCTGGTGTGGCTAAGGTTATCTCGGAATTTTCGTTTGGATTAACGGAGCTTGAATCCTGATCATTGGACTTGGCTTTGATCGTCGGTATTTTTTTATTTGCGCGCCTTCTTTGGGAAGCTAAATGCACCCGTTGCTTTTTTTTCCTTTTTGGGAGCTGTTCGTGGGTTGTCAAATAGTCCATTACATTTGTTATTGGCTTATCTAACTCTGGCATTAGAGCTAAGAAGTCGGCCCTTGAAGCTAGTTCCGGTTTGATTACATTTTTACGTTTGTGCCCTGATTTTATTGGCGCCGCATCTATGCTGTCTCGCATTGTTAACTGTAACAAAAATAATCATTGAGCTGGAAAAAAGCAGGTTATTTCTTTAACTTATGCATACGATAATTAGATAACGAATGGTCAAATAGCCAAAAAGTTCGCCTTTAAACATTTTACACAAAAAAAGCCATCAACTACAGATTTATATACGTATAAATTTATTTCCGTTTGAAGTTTATTGAAGGGAGTGTATGTTAGTTTTAATCGTTTCATTTTAAATGAATCAGATATTTTTTTTGCTTTATAACTTGGACTCAACATATGCATGGCCTGAAAAGCCTGCTGAAAGACTACCTTACATCTTACCTTACCTTATCGATCTGATAAGGAATATATGTATGCATTTAATAAGACCAAAGATTTCTTCTTAAGTGCGTCCCACTTTACGTGATTAAGGGTCAACATTTTTCTAATAGATAAGAATTATACATTTAATTATATTTATTCTTCCATCTGGATCTTTCAAATAGATATTGAACTTGACATTTTATAAAGCTCCAATGTTTAACAAATCCCGCTACATTAATGCTAATAAAATAAAAAATAGATTATCCTAGAATTATTAACTTAATTTGAACAAAAAAAGTAGAAAAGTTTGCGTCATGCCATCTAAAGAAATCCGCTTGCTGTAACAAAACTTAGAATGTAAATTAAATGAGAATTGGCGATAAAGACGTTTGCCAATTGCCGTATGCTATATGAGCTATATGAATTGCATTGGCGCCCATAAATATGCAACACGATCTACGTTTGACAATCGGCGTGGCGTTTGGCGATTCGAATGCACAAATTGGCCGGTCGCAGGCTTCTACTGCTGTCGCTGGCCTTGGAAAGTCGTTCCCGGAAAAAATGGCTAGCCAATAGCTAATGCAATGGTACTCGCACGTGCCACATGCAACGCATTGTTGCCACAAGCAAACTGCAACTTCTGCTGCTGCATACTTTTGATTTCAGGGTTCAAGGTCATCTATTGTCTCTTATCTATTATTCTCTTACTGTTAGCCTTGCCCGGCCGATGGGTGTCGTTGCGGCAGCTTTTAAGCAGCTTACAGGACAGCAAAACAACATAGAATGTCAAAAGCATAAATATCTTATGCTAAGGAGCCTAAAAGGCAAGAAGATACGCATTGAATGATATTTGAAAGCGTAGAGAAAAGCGCATAAAATTGGCAAATTATAATTTTGGATAAGCCAGATATAATATATACGTAAAAGCTTTTGTCCTGATGGACGCACTGACTGATATAATGCAAACCCTAAGCCGTAAGAGCTAGTAACCACCTCGACTTCAAAAAGAGGGAAAAACCTGAAAATCATTCACAACAATCAAATTTCATGAGCCTTTGTTTATTTATGTTTTTGTCTACAAAGATTTAACCATAAACAAACGAACAAATAATGTTAAAATTTGTCAAAAATAATTTTAATATTTCTCCTGTTTAGTAAATTTAAATGATCTCATGAGTCAGCTTAGCTAAATCATGATATTCATACATTCAATAGGTAAGCGACAAAGTTACTTACGAAACTTTTTTCTACTTTTAGACAAACACTTTGTAGAATTGTATTCCTACATGATTTACAGTTGATTTTATTTAGGTGCCCAGATAGAACTTTTTTCAACAAATGAATGCAGTCGAGCTACAAATAGCCTCGCACACCGAGTCATTCGGTGTATTTAAGACCCCCTTTTGGTTGCCAAGAATTGCATTACATTTTGGCTACCAATACAAAAACCCGGCAACATAAATCAAAGCCACCATGAAAAGCCGCCACCCTCACTGTGCAGTCTGAACTGCATTTTTCCGAGTCGAGTTTTGCCCTTTGCTCACACATGTCTGGTTCCATTTTCCTTCATCTTGTTTTTTTTTTTTATTTTTTGTGGGACAACATATTTCACTTTATGCACAGAGAGAACACTCAATTACCACTTAATGTCCGTACTTCAGCACAATTTACGCAAACATGACATAGCCAAAAAAATATATATATATGTATGTAGGGAGCAGTGGGAGATGCGACTCAGGCAGGCAACTGGGTGCAACAACAACATCACCTGAAAAGCATTTTGTTACAATTTGTAATGAGTTTTTTTTGTATTTTGTTATCGGGCACAAGAAAATTGCCCAACTTGTTCGCCATTTGGATTAGAGTTTTCGCGTGATTTTCGAGCATTAAGAGTCAACACAATTACAGTGAATATTGGCCAAGTGGAAATTAGCAAACAAGCCTTGTGACGTCCAAACTAGGCAACCAAGTAAACATATTTGATATGCTCTTTATTTGCTTGCAAGGCACTTGGCTACAATAAGAAGAGCTTTTAATTAAGTTACTTTCCAACACTGATAACAATTTTTCCTTAAGAGATGGATTATAATTGTTTTGAAATATATCAATACATTTTTCAAGTAACAGTCGACTTCAAGTTCAATAAATAGTAAGTCAAGTATTGCTTTCCAACACTACTGAATAACTTATTTGCACAAACAACGTCAAAGTAAAATTATGGAATATTTGATATTGTTTTTAAAGACATTGCTAAGCCATAAATAAATATGTAACATATACTTCAATGTACTGCAGATTAGTTATATTTCACTATTTATCAGTTTTCACTGTACACACACAAAAACTGTCTTAAGCTTTTGATTTAAACTGTGTTTGCGGCCATTGTTGTTGCTTGTCATTTCTTGGGCAGCGTTTAAAATATGCTACTCCCCCATAGTCCGCACCCATCACCCTTTTACTTAAGCCGCAAATTCGCTTGACTTATGTACACATCGCAGTCCTTTTAGCTGCATATCGGCTGCATGGTTGGGGTTTTCATTGTGCTTGCAGCTGCTTTTTAATTAAATCAGAATAGGGGAAATCAATTTGGCTGGCTTAAGTCTAGCGGATGTCAGCTTTCATTTGCCAGACAGCCCTAGTTGCCAGGCAAACAACATGAAAGCAACCCCTCCACCCGACCCGCTTGGCTCATTAAGGCGTCAAACATTTTCCCCCCGATGGAAGTTTTCGTCATTGCCAACAAGGCTCGCAGACAAACTATTTTGTTAAGCCAGGTGCTTAGACTGCAGCTCGAGTAGCTGTCAGTGGCATCCTTGAGGCATCTCTGAGAATTCTGGCATTAAATCCCAAGCACTTGACAATTCACTTTGGTTTAGTTTAGTTTCAGAAATTTGCCATTTGTTGCTGTCACACAACTTTCGTAAAACCACTTTGAAATGTTTTTTTTTTTCTGCTGGCTCGAGAGATTAGTTAATTGCGCTCGCTCTAGCAGTTGGCTCCCTCTTTGCCCACGCACAAATTTTTAGCATTTGCTATCAGAATAATATCAAACCCATTGAAAAAACAACCGTTTTTTTAGTTCATACGTGTGGACAAACAATTTGCAGCTGAAAAACATTAGTCGAGCAGAATTTTGACATTTTAGCTAATGACAAAACAAGCGCACAGATAAATATGCTAGATATATGTACAAATGCTAATGGATATGCAATAGAAACGACTTCAGATATAGTAAGCTATATAAATTTAATCATATGCAGCTATATATGATGATATAGAGATACAAAGATACTTACAGATGCTTAATAATACAATATAATATAATAATTCAACATACAGATTTATGTAAACATATATAAAGACGACTTCAGTTACAGCTATATATATCTCTAGATGTATAGCTATATATATATATATATATATATAGATATCTACACATCTAATTCAAAAAAATATGTAATTAATTTCAGTTCATATTTTTAAATAAATATGCGTTTATAGGAAAAACCTGCATATAATAAATGCCAACACTTAAAACAATCAAAATTCAAAAGCGCATGAAAACATCATGCAAAAATAAAATATTAAAAAACATCACGGTCTATAAGCCAGGCAAAAACATTTCTGTGAATCAACCTAATGAAAGAGGAGGGGTAACCAACAATGTCCAATAAGTCGAACTCTAAATACACTTTATAATTAGGGTATTATTTTGTTAAATGCGCTTTAATAGGATATTTGGGCATTATATTTACATATTGAAATATTTATATTGAAGCGCATTTACTTAATTCGAATTACTATAAACCGATAATTAGAGTAATAAATTTCAATTGCAAGTGGAAATTAATTTTTTCTAGAAAAGAACACAGGCCTCTTAAATAATATGTAAAGTTTTAGTAATATATATATACAATTTGTACCAACAAAAAATATTTAATAAAAGAGTATGTCAATTTCATACGAAACAACTAAAAATAGTTTTCGTGTGATTATCTTCACACATAACGAAGGTTTTTTTCATCATGCTGCTCCACAGCCTGCATACAAAATCACAATTAAGCAGCGAATTGCCAGGCTTGTTTTTCATATATATTTTTTTAATAGCTAACATTTTCATAATGCCGATTACAGAAATGCAAAGGCAAAACGAGAGAAAACTGCAAAATAAATACAACAGTCTTAAAACCAAATAATTTTGGTAGTATACTAAGTATACTAAGCTTTATATAAAATTGATATTTAATCAAGCCCTATTTTGCGTGTCTACTAAATAAAACACATGATAAAATGTCTTGCTATCTTTTGTTATTATATTAAGCAGCTTATTTAAAGAGTTACAAAAATACATCTTTCATAATAATTTAACTAATTTATATTTTTAGAAATTTGTGAAAGAGTTCGCAATAGCTTGCAATAAATTGAAAAACTTGTTTAACATACTCAAATATTTACTTTCGTTGGCAAGCTTTTCATTTAAAAAAAAAAATCTTATTTGAAGTGTACACAAGTGAATATTTTGTACGACTCTTGACATGAAGTCTGAAGGGTGTGAAGTGTCTGCTGTGTAGCAGGAAATACGATGGCTTTTTATGTTGTATGCTGTTGCATAACAAGCTGCATGTGGCAAGCTGCTAGTTGCAAGTTGTATGCAGGAAATGGCATTAGGCTGTTGAATGTGGCTTCCCTATGGTGTGTGTTTGTGTGTGTTACAAACCTACACCTTGCGTGGAAATTCGAGCTCAAGCAGCATGTAATATCACTTAGAGGCAAACTAATCCCAATGCCTGCCACAGCCACAGCCGCTGCCACTGACATCGCCAGCAGCAGTCGTGACTCCGTACTAAGCCCAAACAACTGTCGCATCAGGCACTTGCAACTGGAGCCGAGTGCACGT